GGTGTGAGGGCAAATGTGAGTTGAAAAAAATACTGCTGGTATCAGAGGAAGGTGAAGCTCAGAGCTGGATTCCCAAGGATTGTTTGGGTTTGTAGCAGGCAGGCTTAGGGATGGGTAATGTTGAGTTTGTAGCTGAGAATCTGCACAGATTTACCACGCTACCAGGTCACATTGCCTCTCCCCTCACATGGTTTGTCATGGTTTGGGTGGATAAGCTGCCACATGTGTGCTGCTTTCCTCTGGAAGTGCACAGATGTCAGTAAAGTGTGGTTAACATGCATAGAATAAAATTTAAAAAGCGTGTTGCAGAGGCATAGGGCTTGAAATGCAGAGGAGTTGGTGCTGCACAACTCAGGTTTCAAGTATCTGAGCCTAATTGTTTCCAGCAGGTAAAACTAGAGTACAGCACTGCTGAAGACATTGTTTACAGAAGGATAAACATGGCAGTTTACCTGATTTTTTAAGTTATGTTGTTTGTAACCTGGCATATGAAGAGATCTGAGATGTCTGTTTAGATTTTTACACTCCTAATGTAACTAAAAATGTCCTAAAGGCTCAGCACTTCCACCCACTGAGGTTGGTATGGCACAGTTTCAAATTCCACTGAACAAAAAAACAAAAAAAAAAACCCCAAGATTGGTGTGTAAACTTCTGTGTCAAAGAAATTCCTGCATGCTGGTGTTTATTCTAGCAGATTGATCTCTCTCACGCATAATATTTTCATATCTTCATATCCACTAATGCTTTAATTATATGCTTTATATATACTTTAAATATGCTTTAATTTTAGTCCTCTGTGGCAGAATGGAGGATGGGTGGCTGTGCCTGCCTTGTCAGAAAAACCAGCCAGCACCTGAGGCATGTCCCTGCAAGGCAGGCTCAGGAGCAGCATGCCCCCAAAGCAGAACTGAATTGTGTAACAGAGACTCTGTGGAGCCCTTCACATTTATCTAGCCTGGGCTTAAAGTATTCATATTAAAAAAAAAAAAATTAAATTTGGGTGCCAGGAGATATCCTTTATGCTGCTAGTAGGCAGCTTGGATGTTTGAGGAAGCAAGTTGTGTTTTGAACACTGGGTTTAACTCCCTGAGAAAACAGCTGTGACATACAAAAAACCCCAACCTGTGATGAATCCCCCCGAACTCCACTTTATTTCATTTCCGTATTTGCATTGTAAAACAGCTAAACTGGTAATGTATGTTTATAATTTATATAGAGGAACATATTGTGTGCATTTAATCCAGGTATTTTTTTTATGTCACAGTCTTTTAGAAAGTGTTGTGGATCCATCTGATGTTCCTGAAAATTGGATTTTATAGTCAAATTAGGTTCATAGATAGGTAGAATTGCAAGAACGCATAGTTCCTGAAGGAATAGTTTGTAAAACTCTGGAAGAGAAAAAGCCTACAATGTTACTTGGAAATGTCACATGATAATGAATCATCTTTAACACCAGCATTTTTTTAAGTTTGTGATTTTTCCTTTTATCTTTTGGGTCCTACACAGTGTCAGAGAAGTAAAAGCAGGGACAGCAATTATTTCCTTCCTACAAAGATGTTTATGCCTTTATGTAAAAGGCCTTGAAATAATGTTACTTTGCTATAAAGCTGTTTTAAATATTCAGATTTGTTTTGCAGTATGCATTCAGTTACAGAATGGTTTGAGTTGGAAGGGACCTTAAAACTCATCTTTGAGCTTTGCCATGAGCAGGGACACCTTCCACTGTCCCAAACTGCTCCGAGCCCTGTCCAACCTGGCCTTGGACATTTCCAGGGATCCAGGGGCAGCCACAGCTTCTCTGGGCAACTCTGCCTCCCCACCCCCATAGAGAACAAATAAGTACAACTCTACAATTATTGTTACATTTTTTATTAGTACTTATTTTTTAAGTAATTGGAAGTTCATCAAATAAATTTTCATTTACTGAAAAACACCTTTCTCACAGCTGAGTGCATTGTTAGTCATTATTTTTCCTTTTTAAAATAGAAAGAAAATCATTATGGGATGAATTAGCATTTGAACTCTTAAGATCTTTTCTTAGACTTGATAATTGTATAAATGTTACATCACTTATTGTGTATTGTACGTGTATTATGTATAAATGCTGTTTGAGAAGTTGTCATTAGTGTTTTAACCACTTCAGTATGGGAATAGAATCAATCATGCTGCTTTAGCTTTTTACTGCATGAGAAAATTGTTGTCTTTACTCTTAGCTAAATTATTCTTGCATTTAATAATTCAGTAGTCAGTCTGATGCATTTTTCACCTGGGAAAAGGGGGCCAAAGCTTGTCTTTATTTTCCATGTATATTCAGTGTTGCGCTCAGGGGAATGGTATATCCAAAAATAAGACTATAAATAAGAAATCAGTAGCCTTTTCTGTCTTGCTGCTTTATGTGGGTTTGATATATGCTCCTGCAGCATTATTACTTACTCTGTTCAAATCAATGCTCTGAGCTTTCCTTTACATGATTGATTCCTTCCAGATTAGCCCACGAAGTACGTGATTTAATAAACACCACTGCTACCTGTTTGCTAACACACAGATGTCTGCAGTGCTACACAGAGACTGTAAAATTTCTAAAAGTGCTTCAGTCAGTCATAAGATTTGGATGGTATCACTTTATTTAAGTAGGAAAAAGAAAACAGATTTGGTCTGCTGTAGTGGAAAGCAAACTAAAATTCCTTGGAAGAAACAGAAATAAGGCAAGAATTCATTAAAATGAAGGCAGATTCTGCAGGAGATAATGATATAAAGGAAAGTTGCTTACTAGGGTATTGTCCTCGTTAAATGACACTTTCCTGCTTCACAAAAGAAGCATTTTTCCCTTGCTTTTGTGTTCTTAAAAATTGTGGTAGCAGATTGTAAAGTATCAGCAACAACATTACAACTGCTGATGTCACTTCCTACAATACCTATGGATATGTATTTTTATTACGATTTAGTGAAAGTTTTAGCAGAAATGGTCTGTCAAAGAAGAATTTAAATGTTCTGTAGTGCTGTCCTGGGGTTCAGTGGGTCCAGGTAGTATACCTGGTTTTTATTAGGATGTTATTTCAGTGTCACAGTTGCTTATCTGTAGCAGCTCACAGGGTGCTCATGTTCTGGCCAGTATCTCTTGCAAGAGTTCCATGCAGGACATGGAAGGATTTTTTGTGTCATTTGGATATTTAGAACCAGATTTTTTACAGTTGCTTCTGGCTGGATTATATGGACCTGGTATAGGTGCAGTCTTGTACAGGTTTTAGTCTGCCCTAACATTTTCATTTTTTGTCTTTCCATAATACCTCTGTGATATCTCTGAGTGCTTTTTTAGTGCTTTCTTTTTAGTGCTTTCCAGGCAATTTTTGTGTATAATTACTAATAGATAATGTAATGGCCTTTGAGCATTGATGGCCTGAGGAATTGGAAAGTTTCTTCAAAAGAAGTTACTGTGTAATACTTTTACACAGCTGTCCAGACATAGTATTTTTTATCTTCGAGTTCACTCTTAGTTCTTTGTTTTTCCTGATAATGGCCTGACACATAACATTATTCCTCTCTGCATTTTCTCTCTCTATATAAGGCAGGGTTTTTTACCTTCATGCCTTCTGTGATATTGTTTTCTGTGGAGGTAAATGTCCATAGCTTCCCATCTGTGCTCAGATGTGGGCTGCAGTCTGATGCACACCATATTCCCTCAGTCTCTGTACCCAAACCAGTCTGTGGCCGGGTCATTTCTTCTGTGCTTTCTGAGAAATGTTGTGAGGTTCTATTAATCTTTCTCCAGGAAACTTGTATTTCTGATATTACCCTGCTTTCATCCACTTTCCTGGGAGATGGTTTTCCTTTTCAATTGCTGTACTATTGTTTTTAATATTACTGAGGCTTGTTGTCTTTTCCAGCTACTTTCTATTGTAAAATTAAAATGCTACTTTTGGCACAGAAACTATCATATTGCTTTTGAAGGATAGATATTATTCTTGCTCCCCCAATACCTTGGGAGGAATTGTACAATATGATTCTATTCAGTCCACATTTTTATCAACATGGTCACCATCACCTGCAGCCATCATTCCATTTTTAGAGAACAGCCTTACAGGTATTTTTTCCCTTTTTGCAATATCAATATATGAAGAAGATGGATGAAAGTTTCTTGCATGTTTTTGTCAGTGTGTTTTTATAACTCCCACGAACAGTGATGGACTTGGCAGCCTGGAGACTGAAATCCTCTGTTTAATCACAGCTAGGTGTAGTTCAGCAGAAAGATGTATTTCTATACACAGCCCCTGTAGCATGTCTAAGCCTTGAGCTGGGGAACTGACCTTCTGTAAACAGCAAAAAGCTCTCAGGCCTCTCAGCCCCTGCCTTATCTGGGAGCTGTTGAAAAAGAAGCATTCATGCCATTGAGTTTTTATGACAGGTGCTGACATCTAGTCTGGAGTGGGCTGAGGGCTCTCTTTGGGGAATTTCTTTCCCTGAGTTCCTGAGAGAAAGCAGTGTTCTGTCCAGCCTGGGAGTTGTACATCTGCGTGCATCGAGTTGTCACATAACACTTCTAAAGGCAGTGGCTTCTCAGGCCAGCTTGCATTTAGCCCTAGGCTTGATCCTCTCATCATTAATGTCTGTGATTCTTTATTTTGGTTGTGAAAACTCTCAAAATCCAGTAGCTGAGACCAGAGAACTAAGTAAAACTGTACACTTCATTCCCATGTTTAGAATATTGAGATAATTTATTTGAAAACAAAGCAAAAATGTCCTCCAGAGAATCCTGCAACATTCTGAGCCCAGAGAAGACACACTGCACAGAATTGTTGTGTTGGTCATAAATTGTATTCTCTGAACATTTTGTAGTGATGTACAGAAAAGCAATGGTCCTGGTCATATTCCTTTTCATAAATTTGTACTTATTTCCCTGAAAATCCAATGTAATGAAAAAACGTGCTATTCCAGAAGAAGTGCTCGCTATTAAATCTGCTGGAAATAATTTGACTGGGTTTTGGGTCTTTTGTATTTTTCAGCTAACAGGACAAGTGACTTTGCAAATTGCCACTGCTCCAGTTTTGCCGTTTAATGCCCTCGACATCGCGTTAGAAGTTCAGAACAGTCTGAAAGGTAATTTTCATTAGAGGAATATTGTTCTCCATTATTACAGGGGGGGAAAGGCATCATCTAATCCCTGATACATATTTTCAATACTTGAATAATAGCTAGTGATTTTACTAGTTAAATAGGGCCATTATAGAATGCTGAATAAAACCCAGTTTTGGTGCTAAAGAAAGCCACACCGTTTTTAGATTTCTTCTGACGTTACTTTGTCAATTAAGCAGTACAGGTTACCTGCAGTGTCCTAAGACCTTGGAAAAATATTTCTGTTTATAGGTTTATGAAACTCTCAAGTTGATCTGTTAAATAGACAAGTCATTTATATGAAATCACACCCAAACTTCACATATCCTTCAGCAGATTGCGAGATCACATCTCAAATGTAAAAACTTTTTGCAGTCTTCAGGTGCTACCCCTGCATTTCATTCACTCCCTACACTGTAAAGCACCACTTTTCTGTAACACATACTCATAGAAGTACGATACCTTTGCTTTAATCTTTGCCATCCATCATTGTGAAGATGTAGGAGTCAGGAGGCAAGTATTGGTCTGGAACCAGTGAGCATCTAAAAAGACAAGTAATTTTAACTCTGTTGTGCCCCATAAACATTGGTTTAGTTCAGCCTAAACACAGCAGGGGATGATCATCAAATGAAGTGTGGCTCAGCTGGTGTTCCTTCAACTGAACATGAGATATCTTCTATTGTTCTTCCTTTTTCTTTATTTTGAGTAACAGGAAACGTTGATTTAAACTGACTTTTTTTCCCTCAACTTCAGTTAGATCATTTATCTCTACCACTTCAGGGGAGTGAAAATTATTTCCTAGGCTGTAGGGCCAGCAGGATAAATTTTCTCCCAGCTGCTCACTTTGGAGTTTTGTTTAATGATTTTTCTCATGGTTTTCATGTCTTGTCTGTCTCTGACTTGTATAAAAGAACAGTTTATGTTCATTTTGGAAAACATTAAGACAATGGTCCTTTTTCGGTTACTTAAATGAGAAGTTGTAGGTTTTTTATGTGGCTCATGGGTTTATTCATTCTTCAAAAGATTTTGTGTTGAACAAACTTTCCAGTTCAAAGTTGGAATGTCTTAGTAAGCTGTTTCCTTCTCCAACTCAATGCAAACTGTAAATGTAGAAAAGATGAAGGTAAATCTGCTTGACACGTAAAATAATTGTTCATTAGGCTTAATTTTGTGCCTCTGGGATCTGGTTCAGCCAATTCCTTGAACACAGCCACTGGCTGAGAGGGAGAGCCTCGTGAAGACAAATTGAGGGTGGATGAGATTTTCTGGTTTTCCAGAAGTGCAAGAGCTGTGATTTAAAGCTCTTTTGCTGACTCAGTGTCAGCTGTGTGTGGCTTCTTATCAGTTAGGCCCTTTCTTCTCCCAGAATGGATGTTTTACAGATGTTACTGCAACTGAAGTACTTGGGGTGATAATACTAGGCAGCACTAGCAGAAGTTTAAAATAATCTGGTTTACAATAAGTCATTCCCAGGGAAGTCTGCTTGACTTTCCACAGCCCTGTCTCTACCCATACATTTCAAAACATCAGCCTAAACTCTCTGTTCTTAGAAAAAATCAATAGAGAAACCTATCTCTCTCATTTACTTGATGGCTGTATGCTCATTACCTACAGCTATCTGCTGCTCTTCAGCTTGGCATCATTTTACCTGCTTGACTGTATTTCTCTGATCATTTTGGGTGCTTTTCAGAATTACTCTCTCCCCCTGTCTGTAATGTTGGGAAAATTTCACTCTTTACTGTTCCTACCCTTTATTCTTGACTGCAGCAGAGGTGAAAAATGCAAGAAATCTGTATCTAAGAGAGAAAAATCTCTTTTGTCATGACACACTGGCATCTTGTCTTCAGTATCCATTCAGGGTTATTATGTATTAGTACCTTTTTTCAGCCTTTAAAAGACAGTCATGGAAAAAGGCATTTTCTATGGATAAACATTTAGTTCTGAAGGGCAAGGATGAGCATCTATTCTGTGTTAGAAGGCCTTAAGTTTCAGCAGTTCTGTACAAAGTCATTGGTAACTTCAAAGTGTCATAGAAGGGTTTGGGTTGGAAGGGCCCTTTTTAAGGTCACCTAGTCCAGTGCAGTGAGCAGGGAGATCTTCCAGTAGATCAAGATGCTCAGAGCCTCATCCAAGCTGGCACTGANGCCTAAATCTAATCTTTTGGTTTAAAACCCTTACCCCTTGTCCTATTTCAAAAGTTTATCCCAAATTTTCTTACAAATCCCTCTTTCAGTATTAACAGATCACCATGAAGTCTCCCTGGAGCCTGCCCTTCTCCAGGCTCCTCTATTGACATGCACACAGTAAAATGTCACAACATTCCTCTTTAACACAACTTCTTTGCAAAAAGGCCTGGAGCAGCACCAGATGAGTTTACTTGGGCTACAGCAGTCATGGCAGCAAAACTGAAGCTGATGGCAGCATATCCTTTGCACTGTGGATGTCTGTGGATTTGTGGTTCTGCCCCTTTAGGGTGCTTCTTACAAAGCTTTCCCGTTCAGATTTTCTACTGCCTGGTCTGTTATCCTATTTTACAGAGCATGAAGAATTTTCCTAGTGAATACAGCAGCACATGATAGCTGAATCAGAATTTGCAAGCTAATCAAAACCTGAAGCAATTTCCCTTCTCTCTTACATGCAAACACATGTTCACATATATGGTAAACAAGCATCATGCCTTAAAATGCTGATTTATCTGTGCTCCATTTCCTATAAATACTCACAGGCAAGTATTTTCATAACAGAGGGCACAAACAGAATTTAAAACTGTTCAACCTCTAGCTGTGCTTTTCATAAGAGCAATCAGTTACAGGGGAAAGGCTATTGTATTCAGTGTCTGTAAAAATATCTGTTTGGTGTAACTTGTTTCTGAATAGGATCCAGTTGCATTTAGCAAATGCAATGAAATTCAACAGTGTAATTCCCTGATCAAGGGTGCACATGCTCTTGAGTCACTGTACTGTGTTTGCAATTTTATTTTTGTAGCAACTAAACAACTAGCTTGGATGATTCATCATGATTCACATTGGAGACAAAAGGACAAAGAATACAAAATAAAATAATGTGGCATTGTTTTCTCTTAAACAAGGTAATAGTTGTGCTTGATTTTTCTCTGTAAAAGCATCACAAGGCGCTTAAGACATTATTAGTTAATGCAGGGTTTTCTTGAAGAATCATTTGCCCTTCCATTCCCATCTTCTCAGCCTGAGAAAAGCATAAATCAGTTTCCCTTGGTGGTGCAGTTCAGAGTGTGGTGATGCCTGTTCTGGCCTTGGCTGGCTGAGGTAACACTGCCCATCCTTGCAGCTTTTGTACTGAAGCACTGAAAAAGGGCCTGGGTGTGTTTTCTAACAAGTGCTGGTTTAGAGTGTAAAACAAAGAGTTGGTTTAAGGGCTGTGGAGAACAGGTGAGAGCATTTACAGGATTTTTGTGTTTAAAGGGTGGTCTGGTTGGCTTCATTTCCAAATACAGAAAGATGGATTTTCCCTGTATCTCACTTTCCCTAATGAAAAGGCAAAGCTGACATTTGCAATTGTTTATATAAGATTCAGAATAATAAGTTTTAGGTTACTTGGAATACAAAGTGCTTTGCTGAAACCAAAGGATTCTTTCTTACAGGGTGGATTTAAACATTTCCATATGGACACAAGTCCCAGGGTAAGGTGTGCACGGTGCCTGCATTGCATACATGGGAATGGGAAGTTCTTCAGCTGCACAGGATGTTTGCCAAAGATTTGGAAATTAAGGATAATGATATTTTGCAAATACCTTAAATGTAGCAAGCTTATATGCTTGAAGAATATTTTTATGAGGCATCAACCTAACTTGATCAGAATTTCAATTACTTCAGACTCAGAGAGTTTCCAACCCTTTATATCAAGATGCCAGCACACCTGTTATCCATTCTGCTTAGGGAAAGGTGGATTAGTCAGGTGTCATTAGCAAAGGAACCTTGTCCCAGACCAGGGCAGACATAAACCATCTTCTCTCACTCCTGTTCCCCCAGGGAGCTTCTGTTCATTGCTGAAATTCATCTTGATCTCTCAGGAAATCTGACAGTTTCTCTCACGCCAGCATCTTGTCTCTCCGTGTATTCCGGATCATTTCATGTTTTGCTAGATTGGAATGTGCCAGTCAGCTGAATGACAGGAGTATATGGGATCTATGAACTCATTTTACTTTGCTGGAATGTGTCCAATAGCCAGTCTCTTTTTCTATATGAGAGAGCGAATATGTTATATTCAGGCATTTCCTTGGATTTCTTAGTTATACCTGTTGGCTTTTCCATCCCTATTATGTGCTCCCCTTTCAGACTCCAACCATGAATAATATGAGAAATGGATTGGTGTTTGTCCTGATTTTAACTAGAGTAGAGTTAATTTTCTTCCTAGTAGCTGGTACTGTGTTGTGGCTTTAGGATGAGATGAAGGTTGGTAACTCACTGATGTTTCTGTTGTTCAGTAGTGCTTACCCTGAGGATTTTCCAGTTTCCCGTATTTTCCCAGAGAGGAGTTAGAGGAAGCTGGGAGGGAGCATGGCCAGGACAGCTGACCTGAACTGGCCACAGGGGTATTTCATACCAGAGAAATCAGGCTCAGTTTAAGCTGAGGTGTCCAAGGAGGCTGATTGATACTGGGGCCAGGCTGAACGTGGTCAGCCCAATACAATTGCTCATCACTTGTCTGTGTTGGGTTTTATGTCTCTCTTTTGGTTTCCTCTCTTTTTGATGCTATATTATTACTGTTGTTATTATAATCATCATCATTATATATCAATTATCAAACTGTTCTAATTTCAGCCCATTGGTTTTAACTTTTTGATTCTCTCCCCATTCCATCAGGGAGGCCAGTGGGTGTGAGTGAGCAGCTGCATAGTACTTGCCAGCTAAGGTTAAACCATGTCAATGTTCCCCAATTACTATTTGTGATTTTTCTGTGTGTCTTAGACAAGGAAGTTGAAAATTCATTGAACTTGAGTCCTGAACCACTTTCTTGGCTTAATTATCTCAGTCACTAAGGCACAGAACTCCCTGAGGTTTGCACATTCAGGTAGAGATGAGACAGCTCCTAGAGCTGCATGGTTTGTGTTGATTAAGGCATTATATGAAAGATCTAAGCATAGTTGGGTTTCTTGTCAATAGGTGAAGCGAATCTTGGCCTTAAAGATAATTTCTGCATCCTGGAAATGTTTGTGCTGACTGATACTGCTTTTGACTTTCTATCAGGTTCAGGCTCTGCTTTCTCTCTCCCTGTGCTTGTAAAGATGAAGGCAGTCCATGCACACACTGGGAAAGGAGCCACACTCTTCACCTGCACTGCAGGTGGGAGGAGGCTGCGCATTCACAGTGCTCAAATTCACATTTCTCTTTCTGGACTATGAACAGGGAAATACTGAAATTGTGGTGTGCTCCTAGGTGATGCAGGCTTTTATTCTTTTGCTGTCTGAGTGGGGTTGCTAACAAAGCAATAGTTAACACTCCAAGTTAAAAAGTTTTGAAAATATTGACTGGATTAGAATATGCATTAGGATATCAATTAAAGTTAGCTCATTGGCATATGACTTAAGTGATTAAGAGGAGCAATTTCACATAACCCTCTACAATTGCTGTTAACCTCTAAGATTCTAAAATGTTGAATCAAATTCAATTAAACTGTGCATATTAAAATATTCTGTATAGCAGTCATTATGGAGTCCAAGCACAAGCTTTCAGGCTTAAGAGCAACAGCATCAAATGGCATTGAATAAATTCAGTCTCAGAAGGAAATGTTGTAGCTCTTGATTTATAACCATTGCTTCCTGCATGCCTGTTTTTCCAATGCTAGATTTTAAGCTGTACCCCAAAAATCATTCCTCACAGCTTATTAGATCTTAAAGCATCAGAGCCCAAATTGATCTTTGAAGAGCAGATCAGAGGTTACACGGAGTGATCTATGGCTTCCCTTGACCCCTTCGTGCTGCTCACAGGGGAAGGAGAGGCTCAGGCTTTAATTGGACTATTAATTTTGACTTGGAAGCAAGAGTAATAAGTGTTGTGTGAATCAGTGGTGACTGTCTTGCTGTCCCTGCTGCCAGGTGATGAAGCAGGCGTCCCTCAGCTGCTGGCGGTGGCGTCGCGGCTCAGGGACACGGCGGAGCTGTTCCAGTCAGACGAGATGCGCCCGGCCAATGACCCCCAGGAGCGAGCCCCCGTCAGAGTCAGGATGCTCAATGATGTGCTGCAGGGCTTGGAGAAAAGCTTCCTGCTTCAGCAAGCTCCTCCAGGACTTTACAGGTACGGTACACGGTGTTCCACACACTCTGCAGCTGGGCTAAAATGGTGTTCACCGCTGCTTGGTTCGCAGAGCTGTCTTTTAAAAGAAGACGTCAGTGAGTACCCAGAATTAAAGCTATATTTTTCCTATCACATCCTTTCTGCAGAAAACATTAATTCACTACAACTCAAGGGGTCATTAGAATGCAGCACTGTAGCACTTCTGTCATGACATTGCTGCTAACAAGACGTATGGTGTGATGGCAGCCCAGGCAGCGTGGCAGAAACGTGTGTCAGATGGTACAGGAAGCTTTCAGAAGGAGAAAATATTTTGAAGTCTAATACTGCTTGACAAGCTCCACCTATATTTTATTTAAAACTTTGTACAGTTCATTGAAGATTCAGAATTATACAAGATACTGTGTAGCATTATTTAACATATTTAATTATATAGCAGCGTTCTTGGATGCATTTCAGCGAGTTAAAGGCAGTACATCCCAGTTAATGAGGAGGCCTGAGTCAGTTACTGCTCATAACATCTCGTCTCTGCTTGGAATTGCTCTCTGATATGTATTCAGCTGCACTACCCAGGTTGGTTTTAAGATGTCGTAGTCATCCCATCTTTTACTTTCTAAGAAGTCTGCAGGTCTCTATCTCTTACCAGAACCATCTAAAGCAGCAAAACTGCACTTTGATTTCAGTTGATGGGGAAAATTACCCAGTGTCTCGTGCAAGTGAATGTGTAAAAGTGAACATCAAAGAGACAAGTGGTAGAGGTGAGGAAGGAAAGCAGAAAGCTCCAGCCACAGGAGGGATTCTTCCAGTTATTAGCAATGGTACAAAACAAATGCAGTCATCTTTTAACAGAAGCAAAGGGGAAAAAATGCAAGGTAGTTATGGGGAGCTCAAAAGTGTCAGTGAATAAAAGCCCTACAGCTGTAATAACGAAAATAGAATAATTATATTTGGGGAGAGGCTAATTTACTTCCTTCCTGCTGTGACTGGATTTGTAACATAAAGAAATAAGCCAAAATGGGATTAGATAAAGTCTAATATTCCAGGTTTAGCAGTGCTGTCTGTCTTGTCTGAACTGGTATGGTGTTGCAAAGGAGCCAAAAACCTGTTTAATAGTAATGTAATATTTATGTGTTGCATTGCAACAGCAACATTCAACATTTTTGAATCTGGCCCAGCTCTTTATTTGTAAAAATAAATTATGTCAAAATTTAAGATTATAAGGAGAGGGTTTTTGACATCTTCTAATATTTCAGTTCTTGCAGCACTTGCATTATTAAGTTTATTTACCAAAATGTAATTACTAGATATGCAAACATAAAGTAACAAATTTTTCACTGCTTTCCACAGTACTGTAGTACCGAGCAAAAGTATTTTCACACTGGCATAGTAGACACTGTGGAAGTGAAAATGTTGTACTTGCTGCCCTCCAATTTAATTAAATTTGATACACGATTTAACAGTACAGGATTTCAAAGACTAGGAGGAAACATTGGCTTTGGCTTTACTCTGAATAAATTTACCTGACATCATCTGGAATATACAACAGCAAAGGACACCTTGTGTGTCATCATTTAGATGTTCATTTAAAAAGAATGCAACCTTTGTTCAGTGCCAAGGTGTGTAATTGTTACTTTTAATGGCAAATCTACACAGATAAACAGAACCAAGGACACTGTTAGGGTGCTGATGTCCTTTGCTGCCATTTAAAATCTGAACAATTAAATTCAAAAATTTAAAAATTAATTAAAAAATAAAAAGCATCTAAGTCTTGTTTAGATTATTTTTCATTTTTTAGGGATTGAAAGTTCTTCTGTTAATTGATGAAGTTATGTGAATATGTTTTGTATTCTGAAGATATAATTGTGTCCTGAGAACACTAGAAATACTTGAAAGGCCTAATAGATTTTTTTTTTTTCCTTGTAAAACTTTAAGCTTATCCTTTTTGTCATTTTATAAAGAAAACAAACCAAAAACTCAGTCTCACAACCAGGACCTTGCATGCCATGTTTCATCCCAGTCAGAAGATTGATAGGCAAGTTATAAACCCCTGAAATAGTGGTTTATAATGGAAATGCTGGCAGCCCTTTAACTATAGCAGCACAAGCAGTACAGCAATAAATACTGTGCTTCATCTGTAAACAGAAATTTAGGATGCAGTTTGCAGCCTTGACCTTCAGGCTCCAACTGTGTTTAGATCATTAAGATTCCATAAATACTGTAATTTACAGCCTTCTGGAGGAAGAATTTGTGTGCACAGTAAAGGACGTATTCTTCATGAAAAAATGATTGCTTCCTGTATACCCATTTGGACTCATATTCTCAACCTCAATCAAAGCACTTGACAAATTTGCTGAAGTTTTAGGCATCATTTTTAGCCTTGTGTTTGTCCTAATTCACAGCTCTCTGGATCTATACTGTGTTTTCTGTCCTAGAACTTGAATTTAAAAGAAAGGTGCTTTTTTTCTTTATTGCAAGAGCGTTGTAACCTTCCTGTGCTTCTCCACTACAGGGGAACTGATACATCTTTTATAAATCTTTTTTTTTCTATAGTTTGCACACACATTCCCCTAGCTTTAGTCTTTCACTGTATGTAGGTCCTTAAAAAAATAAATGCCTCATTCCAGTCAATGTCATAGGGCAATATTTGGGCATAATTGATATGTTTTGCATCTATAATGAGAAGTAATATAATCAGACTTACTAGAAGAATTCAAATTACTATTTTTTTAATAATTGGATTATAAAATATATATATATATATATGACTAAATTTCAGTAATCATAATTGACATTGGCAGGTTGTTCAGTACAGTAAATGCTGTAGTTTTGATGCTCGTTTCTCTTACCTGAACTTCCTGACATTGAACTGCAAATTTGACAACAGCACGTTCCCCATGGTCTCTATTTCCAGCTGAGCTGGAAATACACAAGTACAGCTTTAATCAGGGTATTTTAGTCTTATCCAGAAATTTAGGCAGAATGAAAAATAATAGGTTGAGGAATATCCTGCTTTGCAAAAGTTACCCTGGGACTTGATTTGGGGTTAGGAGAAAATTGCTGAGTTTTGTTGTACCTGAAGTATTTCTTTGATTCCCAGTGGTAACCCTGGGTAGATTTTCGATTTTCAGAACAAATTTCTAGGCATAAAATAGGATTGCTGTTGGTATTTTTCATTTATTTCTCTTTGTTTCTCATAGCATAATCATAATACTGATAATTATTTGGATTTATAATTTGCCATTATTTTAATGGAATAATCAGTAGAAATCCGTTTCTCACCTTTAGCCATTTCTTGCTTTCCACTCTCTCAATGTATACTTGTACGGAACATTTCTGTGTGTTTTCTGATGATCGTATTTTGCTACTAAAGGTAATAATCATAGATTACACAGCAGTGATATCTACAAGGTAAATGTAAGAACAGAGGCTTTGTTCCTTTAGGCACAGGGGGAAAAAAACAATTGAAGCATATTTTCCTCTCCATGAGAAGGTCAGCCTCACCAGAGCCATAAAAAGATTCCATAGATATCATGCCATGCTTTTGCATGCTTTTCCCTCTACAGAAACACTGACCAAAACACTGAGACCAATATCAGGGTAGGGATAGCAACACAGTGTGGATCTTCCTGGTGTCCAGAAACACTGAGTTAAAATCTTGTGTTTGCCTGGGCTCAGTAGGAGGGTTCTCCCTGTTTATTGTATATTTTGTTGTGCTTATAATTGCTGATTCCCACAGCTTCTGCCAGCTGTCAGCCTGATGTATCTGTCAGGTCTGTGTGTGCACTCCTTAGGTACTCACTGAGATCCTCTCCCTGTGTTGGAGGGCAGAGCTCTTTAGTGCACAATAATATTGAAAAAAAAAATGAGATAACAAAGCAAACTTCATGGAGTATCAGGCATGGAACACTCAGTGCAGGGAGATCTCCAGTCTCAGTGAGACTATCACACTTCTTCAGCTCCAGGTCTAACTTTCAGGTATGCTGTTGATACCAGATGAATCCTGTAGTAACCATGCAAAATTTTCCTAGGATCCCCTGGGATGCTCCCCCAAAATTTTCAAGCTTAAGAGAGTCATTAAAATCACAGTTTGTGTCTTCAGTATTTAAAATTAAAGCCAAAAAGAGGTGTACAAGGGCTCAGGCTGTCATTTCTGCTCCTGTTAGGTGCATTTTATTCCTAATAGACCCTTCCCTAAGGATCAGGTATGTCCTGACTGACAGTTCTCTTAACAGTTTTATAAAAAAGTCAAAGTCAACATGTGTAAAGTCTTTCTTTTAAATGTTTTATCTTAGCATGTTTTACCTGTCGATTAAGGCTCTATGCATCTGCCACCACCATTTATAGAATTTTTACAGGGATGGTTGTGTTTTGTCTAATAGATGTAATTGAGGGAATTGAGTAATAAGTAGGTGAAAAGCAAGGATTTTGAAAGCAATCTGTGTCTTCAGCAAAGACCTCCAGCAGTTTTTATTGCTCATTTGTATCAGTTTAAGTTCTTCCTTTTGCTTCTTTTCATCACAGATACCCAAGTGTGACATTAACACTTCATTGGGCTAAAGAATTACAACAAATGGGTGCATTTTAATGCGCTGAACAAAATACTGGCAGTAGGCAAAGATAGGTTGTGCAGCCTGAATTTGACATAATGAAATGAAAGAACAGTCAAAAGGTGTTTTCAGTATCATTCAAAAAAGGCAACTTGCACTGAACTCGTGCCACTCAAGTGTGTGTTGTTCACCAGAACAAATATTTTCCTTTCAGACTGAGATTTGTAATGTACGTTCCTGACATGTATATTCCACAGGATTTATTTCTGCTTTGCTGGTAAACTGCACCAGATTCTCAGGTTACAAAATACACATGCCCTAAGAGTCTAGTTTCCAGAGATATGTTTAGTAGGAAAATTAAAGAGCTTATTATATCTCCACGTGTAAACAATCTGCTCATTGGATTTACAGAGGATGAGCATTAAAGATGCAAATATCCTGCTAATCTTAAAGAGT